TGGTAGATTATTGTGTTTTTAGATGCGTTTTATTAGTTCCGTTTTTATTAAGAATACGCCTAAGGCCTTGAAGTTTTCTAGTTTATTTTGTGGGTTTAGTATTGCTTCTAGAGTTAGAGCCTTGTTTAGATTGAGGGTGGTTTGTAATGCGGTTCGATGTGTTAGGTAGTGTGTGCAGTGGATGAGTGCGTGTTCTGGGGTTTCTGGTTGTTTGCAGTGTGGGCAGTTACCTGTAGTGTATTTTTTAAATATTTTTTAGGTGGTTATTTAGGTTGGTGTGTCCTGTGTCCTGAGTTTAGTGATTACTCTGTCGATTTTTTTCGATGGATGGAGAATTTTGGGTTTGGTTAGTGGTTTGCTGAGCACTTTTTTGATTTGGCTATTTGAGTTTAGATATAGGTTATGCCATTTTTTTCTGAGTTTTTGCTTGTTTACACTTTTAATTTCTGATTTTGAGATGGGTAAGTTTAAGCTTATTTCTGGGATTTTGAGGGATAGTTTAGCTGCTTTATCGGCGTTTTCGTTACCGTATATTTCTACGTGGGCGGGTATCCCCAAGAAGGTTATTTGTTTGCCTGCCTTAGTTAGGTCGTTGGAGCTTTTAAGTATTTGATTTATTAATTTAGGTCGGTTTTTTGGTATTTTTGTTTTGGAGGGCTTGCAGTCCACTTAGGGAGTCGGTAAGTATTAGGATATTTTTGTGTTTTTTTTATTCTTGATTATGGAGGGCTGAAGCCATGCCAATTAGTTCTGGCAGTATGACATGCAAATGCCATTTTATACACTTCCAAGATTGACATCAATCACTCATATATAATTTTGATCATCCCTATGCATTTAATAATGTACATGAGAAAACTGTTCACCTATTATCATCAAATAACAGTTAGACACTAATTGAACAGAGTTCACCCTCAGAAGAGGGTTCACTTTAATGACACAGACTATACCAAGCGGTTATACCCGTGTCTCTTAATCCCCTATAATCCACTATAACAACATTTGGGGTGAGGGCACAGTGAGGTTAAACCTGTACATGGTCACACCGGGTGATTGTTGAGATCACAAATTTTATCTACCCATAGATATGGTAGTGTATATTCATTTCCAATATCCTCTTATAATTAATGGTGAATGGTTGAGTCCCCCACAATATTTCTTCTTATTAATTCTTACAAAAACAAAACAACAAGTGGCGTGTGGGGGGAAATGGAGCAAAACGAAATTAGAAATAGGACTTAGGAAGACATCTTCCAAAAGTAGTAAAACAAATCAGAAATCAAACTGCAAACCAAAACACCTGCTACAAAAGTCAATCAAAACTCCCTAAAACCATCATAAAACCAAACAATCTACCAAATTAAAAACAGGCCACACTGAACTAAACTCACAGTTACACCAAATTAAAAAAACATAAAACCGTTAAATGCCCACATTGCAACCAAATAGAAACTCCTGAAGACGTACTACTACTTTGCACACATTACCAACAACACAGAACAACACTCAAATGCACACTAAACTACAACAATCAAATGACACTAGCAACTCTACTATACCCTTAAAACTTACAAACCTATAATTACAAGGTATTCATCTAATCAAAACAGGCCTACTCGACCGCATTTAAAAACAAGCTACCAATAAAACATAAATCATAAATCTGTAAAACCTGACAACCACACAACCTCACAAACTCCTTTAGTTCCTCCATCTTTTTAGCATGGTATATTTCCAAATTCCAAATCTATTTAATCTGGATACCAGGGCATTAGAGGTGTTGATCAGCGTAGCTTAAACTTCAACTGATGGCATTCTAGGAATCCACCAGGCATATGTAGATGTTCATTAAGGTATGGGATTTGTTTCTAATGAACAATCCGCGAAGCATGTGGTCTCATGGAATTTATGTGCGCCTTTTATCAATATATTTTCTGGCGATGGGTCGACCAGAGTGTTCCAAAGTGGTTCGAAACTATCACTACCATGCTTTACCCAACTTTTAATCTTGGCAGATAATGGAACACCCTGTCTATAAACAGAATGCAACCGTTTATCAATATGCTTTGGTGAATGACTCTCAATGGTAAAACAAGTACTGATTGCTTCACACTCGGTTGTGCACACTCAATGCACTTACTCGCTATTCACCTTATGAAGGGGCTATAAGAAGCCCTGAAACGAAGTTGCAAAGAATAAAGAAGTTGTTTTCCAAAAAGGGTGTCGTGTATTCATGTCTTTGCAATTTCTAAATGCATAACAAAAACTTCAATGGTGAAAGATGACTCACCAAACACAAGTCAATGATACATGTATGTCACACATAAGCATAACAGCAACATAGATATGGCAGGCTCAAAACTTTCTGATATAAACTCACAGCTACTAAATACTCGTGAAGTATCCAAAATTCATAACGTAGTGACAAATCTGACCGAAATGAGTCATTTTCTTTTGTGTTCTGTCACCTTGTAGAATAACACAATTAAAATCGATTTCATTGAAAGTGATATAAACATATTTATTTCCATAAAGTGGAGGGATTGGCAAACAAGCAAATTTGGCTTATCTGACTGCCTCTCCCAAACATGATACATTTACAAATAGCAATGTATTGAAAGTGACATGAGAAATAGCATACATTGTATAATTGGCATTAAAGATAAGTACTGTTCTGTAAGTGTTTAACTACAGTTACATTATTATTTACATTCAGCACAACAATATCGCAGTATCATATAGCAAAGCCATCATCTCAGACAAAATCTCTAAATCGGCAAGAAGATAGAATAAAACTGTGCACCGATTTCAAAATTTCAAAATTTGTTACTGTCGTTACCATTGAATTGCCATTTAGAATTGAATTTAAATCGTTATCCTTTACGAAATAATACATGTTTTGCCTTACTGTACTGTTTAAGGGACACGTAATAAAGAAATGAAGTGCATCTTCCGTATGATAGCCACAACAACATCTCGGGCTGTCGGATATAAATCTGGCAAATTTGTCGGCGTTTAGATCACTGCAGCCAAGCCTGAGACGGGAGTGTATAACCTGACAGAATCTTGATCCATAATTTGTATCAAAGTATATACCATTCCTATCATTGCTTTTTATAAAACTTTTAAAACTTCCTTAGCTACTGGCATTGGTGTATTCAATAGGTAGTGAGTTCCAAATATTAACTATATCTGGAATAAATGATTTGGCATAATTATTTGATTTACACTTTGTGGTTTGCAGCAGTGTTACTCATTTTCAAAACTGGCTTTACATATGGAAGAATCTTCCGGGGAAAATTGGATAGATACTGTTTTATTCGGGTTGAAATCGACCCGCCAGTTTTCTGCCCAAGAGGATATTCTACTTAGATCGTTATTCAGACAATGTGCTGCTGTATTCGGGTCATTTACCACGAAATATAGGGATGTGTCATCGGCAAACAATCTTATATTACTATCAATATCGTCTATAATGTCGTTTATGAAAATTAGAAACAGTAGCGGTCCTAAAACTGACCCTTGTGGAACTCCGGCCGTAACTGGTCGTAAGTCTGAACTATACCCATTGATAATAACCCGTTGGCATCTATGTTTTAGGTAGCTTTCAAATCATCTCAATAATTTCCCTTTAATACCATAGGATTTGAGTTTATGGATAATGCCTTTGTGCCAGACTTTATCAAAGGCCTTACTAATGTCGCAAAAGACTGCTCTGATTTCTTTGCCTTTATCAAGTTCTCTAGCAATAAAATCATATAAGTAAGTCAGCTGGTTAGCGGTAGAATCTCCTGGCATGAAACCTGATTGAAGATTTGTAAGCAAAATATTATCTCTTAAGTAATTAAAAACATATTTGAAAAAGCATTTTTCGAATATTTTAGCCACACAACACGTGAGAGCTATAGGTCTATAATTACTACATTCATTAATATTACCTTTCTTATAAATAGGCACAACGGAAGCTTCTTTCCAACTTACCGGAAAGGTAGACTTATCCAGGGATACATTAAACAATTTAGCTAGTGGATATGATATCGCTGAAGCACTTAATTTCAATAATCTAATGCCGATACCGTCGGGCCCTGTTGCTTTACTTTCATTAACAGATAGGAGAAGCTTCTTTCCAACTTACCGGAAAAGTAGACTTATCCAGGGATACATTAAACAATTTAGCCAGTGGATATGATGTCGCTGAAGCACTTAATTTCAATAATCTAATGCCGATACCGTCGGGCCCTGTTGCTTTAGTTTCATTAACAGATAGGAGAACATCTTGATCTTTTCTAATTGGCAAATAAAAACCTGGAATTGAAATATCAAAAGTAGGTATGCCGTCATGCAGCCAAGTTTCGGTCAAGCAAATAATATCGTATGAATGAAATTCAGTGCAGAGTAAATCTACCTTGTCCTTTAAACTTCTTACATTTAGATGAACAATCTTTAAATTACCATATTTTACTGGCCCAGGGTTTGGGTGAACATCACCGCAACATAAGAGAAGTATCACTACTATAGTAGACGTTCTTAGCTTATAGATACAAGAGAGAAACAGCAAGTACTTTGTAAATTTGCAAGATGCCTTGCTATAAAGTCTAGAAGCAAATAATCCCACCGCCTGTCTATAATGCGCTATATCTACCGGCATCTTTTTTTAACAGAATATATTTGTTTTCTATAGAGGCAGGCGAGGAGGTGACGCGCGAAGTTTAAATTTGCAATGCTGAAGTGCACTATATATAACCAAAAGCTGACAACAGAAAGCTGAATGAAAACTACAGAGAGAAAGAATGTCACAACACTCACAGACAAAACATGACCAACACAAAATGAACTTTCGAAACATAAACAAAATCTATATACATAAACCGAAATTGTCGGTTGTAGAATAATAATAAAAAAGCAGATTAATTGGGTAACAATAAGAAGAAAGGATAAAATCAAAGACACCATAGTTTGGTGTAGAGTAATGAGAAACTAACTGAGAGGGGGAAATAATATAAACTATGTTTTCATAACAGATTGTGTGAACGGAAGTTGTAGATAAATTTAATATAAAACAAAAATAGATGGATAAATAACAATAATAATATGAATAAACTGAGCTCACGCCTGGGGCAAGTCTAGGTTCTGGCATACCTGGGTTAATTGCACGGCACGTGAACATCGACTGACTACTGTGTGTCGCACACCTGGCTAATTTGTAAGCACTCGGCACGTGCATATGCATATGAAATGAACAAGCCACAACGATCAAAATTAGACTTCTAACAGGTTGGGATATCCTCCAAATATCAAGGAATATGCACCAAATTAAAGATTAAGGACATAATCGAGCAAATGTTCATGCGGACCATATCCAGGTAAGTTAAGAGTTAATCTGCTAACAAAACCAGAATACTAGAGATTATGCTATACGAGTATGATTGTAAACTCACTATATACATTGTAACATATCAAGGTTGATTTTAAAGGTCACAATATCACACGTTCGAGTATAATGGTAATCTCACAATATACATTGTAATAAACAAACGTTGACTTTATAGGTAACATATCACACGTTCGAATTTGATGGTAGACTCACAATATACATTGTAATATACAAACGTTGATTTTATATGTCACCATGTCACCATATCACACGTTCGAGTATAATGGTGGACTCACAATATACATTGTAATACATAAACGTTGATTTTATAGGTAATATATTACACGTTCGAGTACAATGGTAGACTCACAATATAAATTGTAATATATAAACGTTGATATTCTAGGTCAACAGTTTGTTGTATGAGGTCATCCCGTCACATACTGATTGTCACTCAGTGTCACATTTGTTATTCCATGTCACACAATGCCACACATGTCATACTATGTCACACAATATTAGCCGCTGGCCTATGTGTAAGTAAAATCGTGAAACGCATGTTGTAAAAAAAAGAAGAAAAAAAAAGGCACTCAACTAAGTCAGTTCCGATGAGTAGTTACACACCCTGACTTCCTGCTACGCACATACATATGTCAGAATCCCTGTATCATGAGTTCAGGCATTTACTTCCAATGGCTAAAATAATCATTGTTTACGAAGACTACATGTACATTAGCCATTTTCAGTGATTTTGATAAACGAAATATTTATACTTGAAAATGGAACGAGTTTGATTGACAACAGGAAATCACATCATAGCATCATCATTATCGTCGTCGTCGGCATCGGTGTATATTCCGGTGGTCCTGTGTTTCCCTTAGTGTCTGTATTTTCACCATGCTTCTGTGGTATGCCGGACACTCTGATGTTGTTACGTCGACCATATTGGTACAGTTCATCAATTTGAGCGTCTTTCGATGCCATCCTCTGGGTCAGATCAGTAACTTTTTCTCCGAGATCTTTAACTTTGCTTTCACTCTGAACGTATTTCTCACACATTGATTGAAATTTGTCATCAAGACTTGCGTTAATCTCCGGTAGCAGTATGGTGACTAAAGCTTGACCCAGCTTTGATAATAGTTCAGGTGAGCTGAAAGCTTCAATAATGCGAGGTGTGAGATCACCTGACATCACTGGAATGTCCAGGCCGGGAGCGTTATACAGGAAAACAGAACTGCCACAAATGTTTTCAAGAAAAACAGAACTTTCAGACAGTGATTTAGCACGTTTACAGAATGAATCTGTCACTTCAATTTGGGGCGAGTCGGGCGAACTACTTCGACGTTTTGTTGGGTATGGGGAATCTGACATCGATGTTATTATTCACACGTTTTCACAGTAATGTAGTGGCGTAGATATGATATTTAGTTGATAAAACCATTAGAATGATGATCAGTGTATACGTTCAAATAGTACTCACCTGACGTATTCAATATGGCCTCCCATCCGAATGTCACAATGACAAACACAATCCAGTTTCTTATCCAAATACAGTATGCCATCCAAGTGATAATCCACCTTTCATCCAATATTTATATCAATATTGTCATAACTGTTGAATTATTTATGCTCCCCTCTCAGTTTTTGGAGGTTTTAGCTCTATTTTTTCACATTCTCTTGTGACAGCTCAGACAGCCACGTCTGAACATTGAAAGTGTGGAAGTCTAACACAAAAAGTTATCCAGGCAACCTGGGATCCCTCCAACTCGCTTCAGGAGGCTATAAGAGTGCTTAATGCTTCACGTAATTTATATTTCCGGACATGACAATATAGCTTTCATTTTTACTTGGAAAAGATATGCAGCGGAAACGTAACCGAAGGAAGTGAACACTGCACTGGCTACTTTAACTGCACGTTTCGCCTACCGCTCGCGTGGTGCATACCACATGCACCATCAGTTTCAGCGACTAAAATTCATGGGGAGAGGTTGGGCAAGAGCGGTGTCGATTGCGTGTTATTGTACCTCGGCAGTGTAGTTTCAACAACAGGTTTGCCTTGTCCAGACTCGATTATTTGTCCGTCGTGATAAATGTGGACCATTGCTGACTGTGGTGTTAAAAAAATCCTTCACTCAGTCACTTCACAATCGTTCAAGTTCATAAGTCTTATGGTTTCAAAGTAAATGTAGAACATGCATTTTTACCATGCCAGGTGGAGGGCTAAACATTGGATAGTAATATTTGTTATTATTACGCGATGTTTAGTGGTGCAGATTACTTTCATCTTTCAAATGAAGTATGATTTGAACTGACAAGTAAATAAAGTTAGACATTTAATCATTTTATTTTAATTCTCGGTTAAAAACTGGAGACGTTATTACAAAAGTCGAACATACTTTTAAACGTTTTAGTTTGCAATTGTTTTACACTCCAACCTCCAAACGAAACAATACATCTTTGATCGACAGGACAGATTTCGTTCAGCTTTAGTGGATGCAAGATCCAGTTTCATTTGACAATTTTACAATATCAATTGAAGGAAATTCGTAGAGATGAATATGGCCAATCAGGAATGGCGAACACGAAAAAGATTCCTGCAATCTCATTAATTTCAGATCTTAGTTCTCGCTACCGCTAAACAAATATCTGAGGACATCCCATTACGGGGCATGTCAGACCGACCTTTGACCGACCAATGCAATGACTGACGTCGACGTTAGCCAACCAGAAGGCAGCTTTCTCGTGCCTTCCGGCACTAATTTCAAATTGGCAACTACGTTTCGAAGCATATTTTGACAAATTCTCGATTAAAAATTTGAAACCTGAACAAAAGAACATTCTGGAATGGCTAATAGATGATCCAGCTTATATGTATTTAGTCGTTAAGCCCGTAACTATAATTTACCATGTATACCCCATGTTAAAGTTTTCGAGTTTTCATGATTAGAAATCACATTCCGACTGTCACTTTCATGATCTGGTAAGCGACGATCTGATTGCTCGGATGAAAGGTCGTTCTGACGTGACCCCTAATGAGATGTCCTCAGATCTCTGTTTAGCTGCAGCAAGAACTAAGATCTAATTTTAATGAGATTGAAGATTCCTGTAATAAAAAATTAAATAAAGCTATATATTCGAGTGTATTCCCACATTCGTTCAGCTGGAATACTGCTGTGGACAATAACATTGTCAATGATTTATTAATATAAAAGCAGTTTTCATACAATTTGCACCCTTGTAATATATGTGTCTTACATCCCATTACAACTGATCACAGTAAACAAACTTTGTACTTAGTTTATATTGTTCTTCAGTAATTTTACATTCACTTAATACACAGGTCTTCCGAACTCTATTCTTGTTCAAACGTTTTTGAATTTTTTTTAAACATACATGACCGTTACATGGAAGATCTGAAAATGGAGTAATGGTAATTTTCCAGGTGTGTATATAATTTGTATTACTTTGTGTTTCATTTGAAATCAACTGCTGGAACAAAATGATATGGAACTAATCATTTTTCTTCAATTCCACACTGGTATTGCATTTGTTGACACAACATAAAACCTATAGGACCATTATTGTTTATTATCTATATCAATGACATTGTTGAAGGAATACATAGTAATATAAGACTTTTTGCTGATGGCACATCTTTGTATATGATCATAGAAGATCCTGATATAGCGGTTCGTGAATTTCAGAATGGGCTGCCAGATGGCAAGTTACATTTAGTCCCGAAAAAACTGAATCTATTCAATTTACCCGTAAAGAAAACCCTAGTCGCAAACCTAACTTATATATGAATGGTCCAGAAATCAAAGATGTACAAAGTGATAAGCACCTTGGTATGACTTTACAAAGTAATTGTACATGGAAAATGCACATTGATGATATTGTAAGGAAATGTTGTCCTCTGGTTAACTGTGTAAGGAGTTATAAATATCGTCTATCCCGAACTACCTTAGAAACTGTGTACAAATCATTTATTTTACTAATTTCTGATTATTGTTGTCATATTTAAGACAACTGTACTAATGAACAAGCTAACCTTATTGGAAAAATTACACTAAGATGCTCTTAGAACCATTTGTGGCGCTGTTCGGGATATGAGTCATCAGAAGATTTACAATGAAACAAATTGTAGGTCATCACAGAAGATAAAATTCAAAACTGGTAATGTTGTACAAAATGAATAACCATTTATCCCCGGAATATCTTTGTAGGCTTATTCCTAATACAGTTTCGGAAAACAAATTATGACTTAAAAGATAAAACTAATCTTCAAACAGTGAAGTGTAAAACAAAAGCTTATGCAGATTCATTTATACTAGCTACAACACAACTTTGGAATATGTTACCAGAAAACCTAACGGGGACAGAGACCATTACACAATCTAAGAATTTGCTTTACGTAAAGGGAGATAATAGTATACACTGGGATTTAAATTATGGAAGCAGATTATGCCAAATCATTCACAGTCGCCTCAGGCTTGGCTGCAGCGATCTTAAGGCAGATCAGTATAATAGACATATCTTTGATACAAAAACTTGTTCCTGTGGATATCATACCGAAGATGCTTTACACTTCTTTTTTTGTGTGAAAAAAATTACTATGCTCTTCGAAATGAAATGTATTTTTATCAACATGGTTATTCTGTACAAACAGAGCTATGCGGAAATTCGGATTTGAGTAAGGAAGCGCAAATGCTAATATTAGATTCTATTCAACTTTTTATATTTAAAAACTGGCAGATTTTTAGTTAAATGATTGTTTAAAATAAACTGCAAATAGATTTATTATATACACACATCTAGCTTGGCATGTACAATTTATTTGTTACATCTAACCTTCATTTATGTATTCATTGTAATATGTCCTATGTGTAATGGAGCGGTATTAACATAAGCTCTTCGCTTGTTTACCAATCCATTTTCACACTTTTGTGAAAATAAATACAGTAAACTTTGGTTATAACGAACTCAAAGGGACTTCTAATTTTAGTTCGTTATAACCGTAGTTCGTTATAAGCATATATACAGCATAACTACAGCAAATAGTCGGGACCAAAAAGTAAGTTCGTTATATCCGTCAGTTCGTTATAAGCGAGTTCGTTATAACCGTAGTTGACTGTATGTTTAAACCAAAAACCTATACATCAAATTCTGTCACTCAAAACTAATCCTGCTGATAATTCCACGCATGAGATAAGACATGTAATTAACAGAGAAACAGCACCATGCAGGTAGCATTGATAGCCACAGGAAACATGCTGTATAGTCCATACAAAGCTTGAAAATCCAATGGCCTCTGGTATTGCAGCTTTCACACCCTTTGTTTGAAAAATGAAAAGCTCACTATCCCTCTCTTCAGTCAGGTTTCAAACCCTGATTTTGAATGATGCAACATACAAAGAGAATAATAAACATATGGTAGACCCAGCACGTTCATCAAAAACATCTTTAATATGTACACATGTTATAATGTATTCCACTTTATCAGTAAATAACTTCGATTCCATACATTGTATGAACCACAATGTCGAGAACAAGGCATTTTCTGGTTGCGTACATACACATAGTAATAAGGTAATATGTTTTGACTGACAGTACAAAATCGCATCCTGTTTTGTGTTTGTACATTGATTATCAAATAACATTTGTTTTGTAACTGTACCATTTAACTGCTTTATCTGCTTCTTTATATCATATGACATGATTCAGTACTTGTGTATATCAAGAATGGCATACCCAGTTCATGTGAACCGATGGTTCATTATGTATCAATGGAATCTTAGACATTTATCAAAATGTAATCAATGTTATATTAATTGAAAAGGTTTGAAAAGAAGAATTATTTGAACCTACTTCAACATTTAATTGAGAGTCTACATACTTACCGCACGTTGTCTGGTTCAGTCTCGGTTATTTAAAGACCGCATTCATATAGCTGGAATATTGCTAAGTGTGGCGTTAAACAACATACACCCAAACGAACACACCACAAGGCGGAATAACTGCCACACGCTCCGAGACCAATGTCACGCTGTCGAAGTCCGACGGGCCGGGTTCCCTTCCACTGGAACTTGTTCTCGTATCGGGGAAAGTGAAAACTGAAGTTCAAGAGTCAAAACTTTAAGTCTAACTGGTAAACTATATGATGTTTTAATTTAATAATGACTCAAAAAGACAAGCGATAACGCAACATCTGTCTGCAGATTGTATAATAAAATATAAATATTCAGTTACAGGTGATATCACATTCAGTCTGTATAAGTTTATATTGACTCTGTTTAATACATGCAGCCGCATGTAGGTCCGCGTGATGTTACATTGCTCCATGAAAAAATTCATCCTATCACGTGGCGGGACATCGTGAATAGGAGACCCAGTGCATCCGTCTTATCATTGGCATAATATACCAAACCTTAAACCAATACTGTAACCCAGATGTAGGAAAACCGTGGTCTCTCAGTGGCTTGGCCTAACCATATGACTGGCGCTACCACTTCTGTGAAAGATAGGGATACTAACGTCACTGTCATCGAAAGCATATTTTGGTTCATTTAAGTGAACATATACTAATGCGGAAGTTCAACTGTGTCTAAAGTATAGGCTTGCTAATGCTACAAATCATTATATAGGATTATCAATCGCCATCACGAAATTGTCAACATGCCAGCTGTTCGCAAATCTGACAGCTGTTCGCAAATCTGACCAGAGTATGCCGCTGCCGGTATGTCCATTTGAGGTATAAAAAACTGCGTGTGAATGTTAAAGTACTATCACAATGCAATCATATGCGCTGCTATTAAACATTCTCGTTTTCCAACTTAACAGCGCACACAGAGTACATCAGAAGCAGTTAAACAGGAAGGACACACCAAAGAAGCATTCCCAGACACAGAAAAATGACAACCGAGGAGCAGACAGAAAATGGTTTTAAAAGAGACGAATTTGATGTGGACTTTGAAGGAAATGTTGCCAAGAAAGCCCAATGGTCCAACAAGTTCCAGTGTGTCATTGCTCTGCTTGGATATACTGTAGGACTTGGCAATTTGTGGAGATTTCCCTATGTATGTCAACGGAATGGAGGGGGTGAGTATTTACATTGTGCTTCAGTATCAGACAGCTGTCAGCAATGGCGGTCATTAGTTTCAAATATAGTTGTATCCACAGACACAAGAACCACACAGTCATTAAACGTTACGACTTCCTTCTTAGCCTTGACATTAACTGTTCATTGTACACCGAACATGAACTTCGCCAAATACGTTGTATCCTGTAAATTGAATACCACTGTAAATTACATGTTTAATGAATACAGAGATTCTAGAAGTATAACTAAATAAGGAAAAGGCATGTTCAGTTTATAAGTAAATATATATTGTACACAGAGACTTGGGTGGTCAGGCCTGCTGGCTTGGTTGATGCATGTCATCGAAGAATTCATGATGAGACACTCATTTCGTAAAATCAGTGACACACAAGCTCGAATAATAATCTCTATGAACTATGTTTGTTTGTTTGTTCATTTGTTTATTGTTTAACCCCACACTCAGCAATATTCCAGCTTTATGACGGCGGTCTGTTAATAATCGAGTCTGGACCAGGCAATCCAGTGGTAGCCATCACGAGCATCGATCCACGCAATTGGGATTACGACACATGGATGTGTAATGTTTTTTTTATTACCATTACTTCTTATTCCTTTTAAGCTCCTCTTCAGAAAATGCATTGATCACGTCCGCCTTAGAAAACTACTATTGTCGAATGACCTCACTAATCTACAGTTATGGCGTCGTAATTAGAGTGACGGCAGTCCGACATTACGTCGCAAAGAGATTTGAATGCCTTCCATATGACGTAAACAATACACTGGTGCGCGCGAAGTGATATTTGCACGTGCAATATGTATAAACTGGATTCACCATGGTAAATGAAAGTATTAACTTTCTACAACAATAAATATATTCACTGTTCTTCATACATGTTCGTCATGTATGTTGTATGTTGTGTTAAACTAAAAAAAAACAATAAAAGAAATAGAGCAGCACGCTCTGTAGCCCGTCTCAACTTTTAACTTATACCGTCTGGCAGTAGCAATAATATGATAGTCTTAATGTATGCACTGCATCAATTAATTTGACATCGTGACAGAATGTCTATTGTGCTTTATATTTAACCTCCTATTACATTGGGGCGGTCGGGGAAGCCTAGTGGTTAAAGCGTTCGCTCGTCACGCCGAAGACCCGGGTTCGATTCTCGACATGGGTACAATGTGTGAAGCCCATTTCTGGTGTCCCCCGCCGTGATATTGCTGGAATATTGCTAAAAGCGGCGTAAAACCATACTCACTTCACTTCCTATTACATTGTGAATACATACATACAGCAAAAGTGTATTTTGTTTGTTTGCTTCTTGTTTAACGCCGCACTCATTAATATTCAAAGCCATGTGACGGCGGTACGTAAAACAATCGAGTCTTGACCAGACAATCCAGTGATTGACGTCATGCACATCGATCCCAAACAAGTTAGCGAGCCTGTCCACCCGATCCGGTAAGTCGCCTCTTACGGGAAAAGTGTATTGATGATATGTGCTGTGTGCAGGGGGCATTTGGAGATCTAGAAGTGATTGTACATAATTGTACACGAAGAAGATTAGCTGGCATTACTCATTTGGATTTATTTCGTGGCTTGTCTAAAATGAACTTGCCTTTCCTCTGCATAATGATTCAAGTTGATACTTTTTGGCAATGTCCGGCAATGGAAAAGGTTTGGGGCTATTACTGACAGGTTATTTCTCCCATTGACGTTATTTCAGGTGCGTTTCTGATTCCCCACATGATCTTCACGGTTATAGTTGCTATACCTCTCTTCTTCTTGGAGGCTGCCCTTGGTCAGTTTTCCCGTAAAGGTCCTATCGGAGTGTGGGGGCTGTGTCCTCTGATGAAAGGTACGTGAGAAAATGCAACGTCTTCCAGGAAGACATACATATATGACAATATACATAAAGCACACAATGTTGCAATGATACGATTCATTGTGAAATATACATGAAAGTATAGGGATTCAGATTGACATGTAGTCAGTTATCTACCCCTGAAGTTTAAGTAATAATGAACCCTGGCAATAACCTTAGATATTGGCAGCATTATCATTGACACCTGGCGTCAGGTTTCACAAATACAAAACGCCAACGCCATAGAAAATCTTGTCTTAACCAGCGAAATTGCGACTAGTATATGGACGTAGTATTGGAAGTCCGCTTCTCAAAGGAGACATATTTTCTAAAAAGAATATGTAAGTCAGATATAAAATTTTACTGATCATTACCTCAAATGTTTAAAGATTAGTGTCGTAAATTCATTTTTTACAGAGTGCTGGCCCTTGATCTGTGTTTTTCATCTTAATGCATATTGTGTGAAGTAGGGACAAGTTTTCCCAGGAACTACTGAAGTTGCATAAATGAATGTTTGCATGTTTATCTAAGAGATACTTGTCGAGACTGAGTTCGAAAATTGGTCCCGTCAATTATTGTTTTACATTGTGAAATATACATGAAAGACTAGGGATTCAGGTTGACATGTAGTCAGTTGGCTACCCCTGAAGTTTAAGTAATAATGAACACTGGTTTACAACTTAACGCATCCTGCGTGAAATGGGGAAACTAATTATCTTACATGAATGAAACTTTGCAAGTTAACATGTATTTAAGAGATAGTTGTTCGAAAATTTGTCCCCTCATTTTTGTCCTGAGAGAGTTATGGCCCTTGCTCCGGGCTCTTCTTCTAAGTGCATAGTGTATGCAATGGGGACACGTTTTCAGAGAAACTACTGATGTTACTCTAATGAAACTTTGCAAACTTTTCTAAGAGATACTTGTCAAGACTGAGTTCGAATTATTTGTATACAGAGTTCTGGCCGTTGATCGATGTTATTTTACTTAGTGCATAGTGTGCAATGGGGACAAGTTTTCCAAGATATTTTAGCATTTAACTGAACTTTCTGTTCAAAGTTTAGGGGCGGTCGGGTAGCCTAGTGGTTAAAGCGTTCGCTCGTCACGCCGATGACCCGGGTTCGATTCCCGACATGGGTACAATGTGTGAAGCTCATTTCTGGTGTCCCCCGCCGTGATATTGCTGGAATATTGCTAAAAGCGGCGTAAAACCATACTCACTCACTCACTGTTCAAAGTTTAAGTTAATGAGATTACATATTTCTACATTGATAAACACAATCTGTTAATCTCTTGATTAACCGACCATTTGTATTCGGGAGAAGAAACAATAAATAATTATGCTTCAGACTGTTGAAAAAGAAATCCTGCCCCAAACTTGACATTGTGGCAATTCAGGCTCACAGTATTAAATTGTTACCCTGTCTTGCGGTCGGCATTAAGGGGCTGGAACAAGGACTGGTCGGCTCGGAGTCAGTATACTGTGTCTGAGTGGGGTATTCATGTTAAACTGCGGCATGGTATTTCAGGTAGCTAGCACTATACATCGGCATCAGTCCTGACTAGTACAAGCAGCCACACAAACACACATACGTACATGCACGTGGCTATATAAATGCAATAATCTTGGACGCGACGTTAAACTCCATTTCACCTCACCACATAGAATTAAATAAAACAAATACGTTTTTGTAGCTGTAGCTGAACAAACATGTAATCTAGATACAAAATTCCCCCTCCCACCTCCTCCCCCAACAATCCTGAATATCAAGTGGCCGGACCCTAAGGTGTAAGGAATACAATGCGCGGTAGATGAATAAATGTAATTTACCTTCCATTTAATTGACAACCCTTGTCTGAGATATAGTTAACTTGTGCAAGGATTGATAACAAGAATTAATTGGCATTTATTGAGGCGAGCAACAATATTGAAAGGAACGTTTTACCCAACGTTTAGATTTTGATGTAGTTACGTCATTTCCCCCCCGACCACATCCCCGTAGTGGATATAGGGTCTGTCAAGGGCGTGGAAGGTCTGTGTTTCGATCCCCGGCCGCGTCATACCAAAAGACGTTTAAAGATTGCACCTGTAACAGTTGTTGCCCTGACTGGCGTGTCGGCATAAGGGTATAAAGCACGAATTGTGGGATGGTATCTCAGAGGGCAAGGACTGTAAAACCTGATATGATCAGACTAGAACAAGCAACCACACACACACGTGCATGCTCGTTATTATAAGTAGAATAAGCTGGAACGTGGCGTTAAACCCCATTCACCTCACTTCGTTTTTCTTCCAGGTATTGGTTTTGGTATCCTGATTATCAGTTTCATCATTGTGCCGTACTACAGTATGATGTTTGCCTGGGCCCTCTACTACATATACAGCTCCTTCTCCACCGTCCTGCCCTGGACAACATGTGACAACTCATGGAACACACAACGATGTGTGGCTGTTGGTGATTCAAAACGTATCATCAATAATTCAACAGTTATAGATGAATCAAGATTCAACAAGACAAACTATTTTGTACAGATGAACGCTTCTAGTGAGACCAACGTTTCCACTGAATTAGCCAGCGTATCGGGTCATACGGCAACAGAGGAATTCTGGCAGTAAGTTAACATATATTACTTCATTTGTTATGATATAATATTCCAATACCGTTTCTCATCTGGCAGAGCTTGATTATCTGTTTAAGGTACAAAGTGCTGGGCATTTCTTCAGGGATAGATGACCTCGGCACTGTCCAGCTCCATCTCTTCATCTGCTGGGGTCTCACATGCCTGCTCCTTTTTCTTAGCATCGTAAAAGGAATCAAGTCACTTGGCAAAGTAATGTTCATTCGTTACAATATTAACATTTTAGTGCCCACTGGTATTCGTTAGCATTATCAGCCCATAAAATAAATCATTTAGAAATTCAAATCCATGTGGCGTTTAAATGGAATCACTACTATATAAACTATAGTTGCTGCTTCATATCCACTATTTCTCTGGATTTAATATACAATTCAGTATGTCCAATTGCAGCGCCATCTGGCGTTCTTTATTGTCAACGCCCTTTCGTGCTCACTGACGTTGTTCTTTCTTTTCTTAAAACGTCTTTTCGTAACATTTGACTATTAATATTGCGTACTTTTGACATTTATTTCAACTTTTTATGTTTAACCCTCGTCTGTTTGTTTTGTATTTTGACCTTAAGTAGTAACATTTAGTTCTTACTTACGTGAAAATTTGATCTTAATTGCGTACTTTTGTCCTTTTTTTTCGACTTTGTATTTTTTGACCGAATGGCCACCCATAGACTACACGATACTATGACGGAGGACACGGTTGTCCCATTCGTCTATGTCGCCGTAAGTCGTGTGCTAGAAACCTACGATCGTGGGTTGGAATCCCAGATTTGCCTTGATTATCTATTTATGTCGGCACCATACCAGTGATCGTTTGTTTCACCGAAGTGATAAACGTCAAAGACCTGCATCATTCCGTGACTTCCTCCTAAAGTGAAGGTGATGTGAGTAGAATACTGTTTAAAGCAATGGTAAACCAAAGTCATTAAGTGAACTTAATATGAATGCATATGTTACCACAGGTAGTGTATGTGACAGCGTTGATGCCATACATACTGTTGACGGTACTGCTGGTCAGGGCGTGCATGATGCCGGGTTCTATGAACGGGATTATGTACTATGTCAATCCTGATTTTAGCCGTCTTCAACACTCACAGGTCAATATTACTTTTTTTTAAATATATTAAAATATCGTTTGAGCTCATGTGAATTCCTTGTTAAGACCATAGAAACAACTTATTGTCTAAACAGGCCAACAAGTAATTTGAATCGTCATGAACAATAAACGTTTTAAAAACAGATATATGTCTGGAACCTCGCCCCTCGTTTTCTTTATTTTATTAATCTTCATTCAAAAAGTATTTTCTTCTCGACAGTTATATTGAAACACAATAATATCGTGCTATTTGTCAGTCATTATTTGAAAATATATGACACCAGTACAACAATGTTAATATCAACAAAACAATCACATACTGATATTATCAAAAATGTTATCTAGTTATATTTTTCTCAGGTGTGGCTAGAAGCAATTCTTCAGGTGTTCTTCTCAGTGGGTCCTGCTTGGGGAACTATTATTGCCATGTCAAGCCACAACTCTCCCCACAACAACGTTGCTAGGTAGGCCAATCGCTGTTCATTTAGCAATTGTGAAAGCCTTACGTTTCTCTGACCAACAGGTTCAAAGTATTGTATGGTAAACAGACAGGTGAACATCACGCATCAAATCCAAATTAAATTTATTATATTGTTCTTCCCAACCTTAAACCAAATATATCCGTGTATGACCTATTTCGTACGGGATCTTTTTCCTTATTTTTATTTGTTGTTGTATCTTATTTGACAATCATCTTCTTTCGATTCGTACAAAAAAGACCCCACTATATCAAAAATAACATGTATTTCATCCAAGGGGTTTCACACCATCCTCTTTACAGTATTGTATTTGCTGTGCAATGGTTTCCTGGCACGATTGAAACAATTGGTATATATATATATATATATGTTCGGGTGTAATTTATCCCTTCCAATCTGACAGATGATTGTATCTACACTTGGATCTTTCTCGTTTGCAGAGATGCAATCCTAGTCACTCTTTTAGGCGAGTTGACAAGTGTTTTTGCTGGGTTTGTGGTGTTTGCAACGGTGGGTTTCTTGGCTCATGATCTCGGACAACCTGTAACTGAGGTCATTACTTCAGGCAAGTCATCTTAATCAATAGTACAATGCCATGATCACTGGTTTGGTTGGTTGGTTTGTTGTTTAACGCCGCACTCAGCAATATTTCAGCTTTATGACAGCGGTCTGTAAATAATCGAGTCTGGACCAGACAATCCACATGACATTCAAACGATGAAATACATGTTCACGCACGTTCAAATATTCAAATATGAACATATCCCGAAAACACAGTTATGACTCATAAGTTGTACTTTCAGTTTGTCTTTACTTATTGTAGTTTCTAGCATATGTTATTTCTGGAATATGCAAATGATGACTAATAGTATCCATTTTTCAATGGTTAGTAAAAAATGTTTCATGGTCTCATATCACTGTCTAAACATTAATAGGGTAAACATAATTTATGCGAAAATAAACATATTTGCGTTGCCGTTTATGTGTTTATTCATTATAATAATTTATATGTATCTGCATGACTGTTCCTCTTACAAAAGGATTAATGAATGTGTATTTGCACTTTCACAGGTCCGGGCATTGGGTTTATTGTGTATCCAGAGGCAGTGTCCCTACTACCGTTCTCCCAGCTGTGGTCCGTGCTGTTCTTCTTGGTAGTTCTGATGATGGGGGTCGATTCAATGGTGATTTCAAATTCATATGCATCTTTTGAATGTGATACCTACATGTACCTGCACGGGTATGGTGCTTACAAACCTAGTAAACAATAAAAGCGAATCCAGAAAAACAGGTGAATAATGGAATACGAATACACACCGATACGTTGTGTTCCTCAAAATAAAGAAGTTGACATAACATATGTGTATACATCACTTCTAAATGCCATTCAGAGACACGATAATAACTACACTGTTGAATAAACATATGATGAACAACTCAGTTAAGTTCTGTTTGAACAGTTCGGCAACATAGAAGCAGCTCTTGGGTGTATAGAAGATATTCTGCCAAGGCGTTTTCACACCAAACACCTCCAGACCATTATGGCTGCTGTTTTGATGAGCGTTGTTTTCCTTCTTGGCCTCCTTTTCACAACTAGTGTGAGTATTGTGTTGTTTTGTTACACAAGCGGTTCGTTTGTTGTTTTACACGACATTCAACAATAGTTCATTGATATGAAGGCGGCCTGGACCAGTCATACAAGTGGTTGATAGCAATATATACCGCCGTCGGGATGAGGACACTCAATGAGTTGTGTCACAGAGCCTGACCACCCAATCCTAATTTAAGCAGCCACTTAGGAATAGTAAATGGGAATTTCCTTTGCATTTGTGTATATTGTCACTGGCTATTTCAACAGTACACTGGTGACGTTTTTGCATTTCTATGTCAATATCTACACCATTAATGAGAGTGATCTCATGTTTGCTTGTTTCTTGTTGAAAGCGGAGTGGAAATGTGGAAATAATCGAGACGGACTGACAACCCTATTTGGTCACCAATTATGATAAGCATAGGTTGCGCGGAGACTTTTTCTAACGCGGAATCCCCCCAATGATAAGAACTGTACATGTTGTAGCCGAATTTAAGCGGAGGAATATGTAAAGAACTAAATACCATATTCCTGTACACTAGCATAAACAACCTCAACATATCCAATTGGTATGCTTCTACATTGGGTTGGGTGGTTAGTTGTTTAACGCGGCACTCAAAAATATTCCAGCTATATGACGGCGGTCTGTAAATAATCGAGTCTGGATCAGACAATCCAGTGATTGACGCCATGAGCATTGATCCACGCAATTGGGATACGATGCCATGCAACAACCAAGTCAGGGAGACTGACCACCCGATCCAGTCAGTCGCTTCTAACGACAAGCATGGGTTGCTGAAGACCTATAATGTTTTACCCCGGATCTTCACGGGTCCTTCTACATTGGGAATCAAGGGCAATTCATATCTTTGAAGTCTCATCAACAGTACAATGTAATTCAGTACTTGCATTTATATTGACAGTTTACAAATACAGTTTAAACCATAAACGATTTCACAAGAAAGGAAGTACGGTTTCAGTTGTGAGAACATGGAACAACACGGGATTGTTTAAGTCGGCCACTAATATTTGCTAAATTAAAAATGATATCAAGAGTTGTTCCCTTTAGATTAACACACACAGTCGAGACAACGTGGCAGCCATTTCAAGTGTACGTTTGACCGCTCAGATAACTTAGGTCGACTTGCAATGTCGTTCAATATTACATTACAACCACGGCTTTATTAGGAACTATGGCACTGTAAATATTGATAAATCTATCAAATTTGTCGCACTGATGTCGTAACAGTTTCTCTGCATGGCTAAAGCTTTGTGACATATTGGTGACGCTACTTGACGTCATTGACGTTCATCAAAGGCGAGACTACTGTCCATCATCGATTACGCATGCTATTATATATCCATTCCATTATGACAAATGCCCTGAAGACATTCGCCACCAATCCTTTTGCCATAAGCATTTGCATACATTTTTGTTTCAGGCTGGGATGTACATGTACCAGCTGTTAGATTGGTATGTGGCTGCCGTTGCTTTGTTTGTAATCGGTACTCTGGAATGCATTATTGTCGGTTGGTGCTACGGTAAGTTGAAATACAAATGTAAAATAATTGGATCATTAGGCTACAACGTACTGTGGCTGTTGTGGTAAATGTTCACTTTCATACACCACACAAAGAGACTGTATTTCCCAAAGTAATGCATGTTAGGAACGAGGTCCTTATGGCCAATGTTTGAAATGTACGTATTATTTGGCCACCAAATGGGCACATATCATACAGGTGGCAAAACAAAATGACATATACTACAGCGCTTTGTAAATTATACTAAGTATGGTCACTGTTTTCATGTATTTCCTCTTGGTAATTAGCATGGCCACATTGTAAGAACGTTCGGTTGTAGCCGTGCTACCATTACCAGGTTGATGATCTTTGATGGAGCAGGGCAGAGTGACAGGCCTGTACATGGAAGACCACTTGCGTGTAACCTCTTGCGCGTTATCCATCTTTTAAACTGCTTCCTCCTCACGAGGACATCTGCATCGACGTCACTTGGAAATCGTGTCAGTCGACAGACAATGCCAAGATGATTGGGGAACATGGCATCCGAGGACGTCCAACCTACCGTGGAGTGACGTCAACGCACAAACGCCGACGTGAAAGATTGATATGGGCCAAGAGGGTACACCGTTGGCAAGTGTATACAAACATCAAAGGGAACGCATATAGCGCTGAACTGTGTCCATGAAGTTCAAGCGAATGGAGGAGGTGGTGTTATGGTCTTTGGAGGAATGTGTTGGAATTTGAGAAGAATGATTTTCATTCGAGGCAACCTTTTTCTGCAGCCATGTATTCAACAACTGCCACACGATATGCAACAACATAAATATTCATGTTTTGCCATGAACCCCATTATGAATGGCAACGGATTCCCGTGAACGTTATCTGAAGCTTGACGCCATCGATGCGGCGACGCGTTGTGGCATGCATTGTTAAATGACTTAGCAGAGACTTTACAAACTGTTGTTGGATAGGTGTTTTGGACATTGACATTGTGGATCATCACATTTTCCGTATGTCTTAAGTCACTGTTGCTTCTTCGCGACACCCCAAATCACCACTCTCATTAATATATATATTTTGAACTATAGAATTCAAGAGTTCCAGTACACTAGATTTGAATGTGATAGGACGCATTGTACAGTTAATGTAAATCTGAAGGGTAATGTGTTGATAGAATATTAATAGCAGGGGCATGTACTTTTCCGCATGTTGTCACCCTAAAATATACACACTCTTGGAACGGTAGTATATATAATAAAATCGTTTCCATGCAGAACGAGGAAAACAAAGACAAAAACTATGACTATTGTCACATCATGTGTGTTCAATATATCGTTACTCTGAAATGTCTTGAAATTCTAGTTGCTATAGCCACCTTCACTGGTGCTAGTACAACCCAACCATTCACTATAAGAATATATTGAATACCCAACAAAACTATCAATACCCAATGTAAATGACAACATTTGAGTAAATTTTGCGAAAACATTAGCTAGTGCCCTGGTCTCTCACTAACAGTTATCTAAACATTAAATGTCAACACCAGAGAATAACCTGTCTTGATATCCGACGAAACCGATTCCAATTATATGAATGGATCACTTAAAACCGGTAATGACATCAGGTGTTTGCAAAAAGGGTTCGTTCGTTCTGCCAGACAATCAATGATGGATCAGAAATCACACGATAGCGCATTTACTGATTTTGTTAAGACAAAATACAAAATGTAATTTTTATCACAATTTTATTACATTTGAAAAGAAGATTGATTACATCTGTTTTCTTTACAAGTGCAGAGATTTTGCTGGTTATAGGTAAAGACACAACAAGAACAAAAACGTTAAAGAAATGTGTTCGTTTTGCAACACAATGGTAACCGAGTGAATCGACGTGGTTTCATTGGTGACCTAATGTGAACCCAGTCTTTCACACAGTAGAAACATCTATGATCATCTTGTTTTAGTACCGGTAATACAAGCATATAAAAACTAGTTTATGAACACACTTGATATCCGGAATGATACATACCATTCTAAGGCATGCAAACATTTGAAAATGTACAAATCTTTCCTCATCCAAGGAAATGTTCATTTTTCAAACCCTTGCAAATTTAGCCAAAAGTTAGTTCTTATCGGGACATATACCAAAATCTGGTCATAACAAGCATTTCCTGCTATATCAGTGTTTGTTTGATATGCGTTTGGTCCCGTGAGTCGGTAAACAATCTTAACCAATCAGAATAAATCAGTGAGGGCCAGCAATGAACAATATATACAACCACATAAACACAGAAAGAACATTGCTTGACTTTCTGAAAAAGGTACATTTTAAATATTTCTTTCGCGGTTTAGAATCATTCACGAATATTTGCTGAATCAAATAAAGCATTTCATTTCTTGTGAATCTGTTTACTAGGTATGAAGCGTTTTGCTGTTGATGTGGAGGCTATGATTGGAAAACAGCTGCCAATTGTCTTTAAACTGCTGTGCTTCATCTTTGTTCCTGTTATTCTAACGGTTGAGTATGATTACTACACCAATCCCAATACAAACTCCAATGCATGTTATGGCTTGTGCTTCTGGAACAAATAAAGTGATGTTTTATTTTAATTGAAGTATTTAGAGACACTTGTTAACTAAAGACAGATATTCTTGCTACCAGACATGTGATGTTATCTGAAAAAAATATCATTTAAAGTATAAGCTAAGCATGTAACTAGTAAGTACGCATATAATTTCAAAGCATATTAAATGACATTCTCCGAGTGTTGGCGAAAAAAGTCAATATTCAACAAGTTAACATTCAAATTAAGACAGTTTGAATTTAGAATACATATGACGCCTGCATGTCTTATGAAACATATATATATATATATGTTGTTTTTGTAGGTGGCCATGTTTCTAACTGTCACTTCTTACGAACCACCATCTTACGGGAGTTATGAGTACACGCCCGTCGCTGTTACTATTGGTTGGTGTGTCGCCATTGCACCAGTTGTACCTATTCCAATAACGATGGTGATACAGATCCTGAAAGAAAGGGGGTCCTTTGCTCAGGTTTGTACTTTGTATATTTCCCTACTTCATTACACTTACGAATAAAGTTATTTGAATCCAGTCATTTATTGCAGTCTGAAACATTGCAAGGCAAAATGCCTTTCCGAGCATCAACATTTACCTTGTGTTTCATATGTTATAACAACTGGGTAAAACGAAAACAACAAGCTTGTTTTGTTCCTCGTTCATAACTGCACGCATTCCAACTATATGCCTGTAAATGGTCGACTAAGACAAACCAGGGATTTATATTATGAGCAACGATCAACACCGATACTGACAGCACGATCCATGAAGTCGTCTTTTGCGAACATAGGTTGTTTGGTGTTCATTCTAACCAGGAAAGTGACGGAACGGATGGCAAATAAATGTCTTTAAATTCTAGTTTCTCAAATCAACAACGTTTACGACTTTAAGTCAGTTATAATCACGGTCAGCAGTATAATCACAATCGATCGGTTGATACAGAACGATCCCTTGTTTGTTGAAGTGAGGCCGCTTCACGTCAATGCTGTAATAACATTATATGCACTTTGAAGTTTATAGTTATTGATCTGGCAATTTGATATACAAGGGGCAAACGACCATTTTGAAGTGCATTTTCATTGTGGTGTATTTGCATTTCAGCGTGTGAAAAAAGCCACAACGCCAAACAGGAAGTGGGAAGAATTCAAGCTACTCTATGGAGTGGAGACGACATCAAGATACACTATTAAAGAAAACATCCTATTTCTTTTCAACCGATGATCGACATCGAAGTACTGACTTACATTTGATTGTAAAGAGCTTCTCGATCATTTTTGTGACGGTGCAGCCATTGACTTCGACCGTTCACCTTTTAATTGTTTTGAAGATCCATATAGTGTTCTTGATAGTATTGTTTCAGATGAAAAACAAAATTATTGGCAAAAAGTACTAGCTGCTGGAATTGTGTCGGATTTTTTTGCGGTTCATATTTGTTCATATTGTTGTTGCTAAGACGTTTATTACATACAGTGGAACCTGCAACTTACCCGTGATAATTCTTATGTATATGTTTGGGAAATTTCACAAATTATACCTTTTTCATAAACTATACCTTTCAAAAGCTGTTGTTTATATACTAAGGTCCATGTCATCACCAGGACACCTGGCAAGACACGCTCAACATTTAACACTGTTGCCAGCCATGAATATATTTAAGACGCAAGCAAATGTCTCCCTCAACAGGGCTGAAATAATGCCGATGTGACGTAAAATTTTAACTCACTCACTCAACAGGGTCATGCCAGTCTGATTCCCTATACTTCTCAAAGTGTTTCAAACAGTAGGAGTAGGATCACGAGATGATCCTCAAAGATATGGGCTTCGTATTATAGAAATTTGAAATGTATAACTTTCGGATATCCGAAGATGCATGTTGTTTATTACGAGTCAAGAATATCCATGGTACGCTCGATGGCTTAGGTATGTCTGGATGCCATTTTTAGCGTGAAAGTATAGTCCTCTTTTAAGGGAGTGAAAAAGGTTTTACGCCGCTTTCAGCAATATTCCAACAATATCACGGCGGTGGCACCAGAAATGGGCTTCACACACTGTACCTATGTCTGGAACGGAACCCGGGTCTTCGGCGTGTCAAGCGAACTTTTTTTTACCACTGGACTACCTGACCGACTCCCTCTTTTAAGATGCAGATCCATTTGTAAATGGTTACTCCAAAAGTTGAATTCTACTATTCAGACTTGCATGACTGAGATAACGTATATACTTGTATCACTTTAATTTTTAGTTCACTTGACTGAAATATTCTCACAGGATGTCATACTGAAAATGCACATTTTCCCGATTACCATTTCTGCAAGTATAAATGTGAAATTTGTGCACCTGGCAGCAACACAGATGATGTTATGAACATCATTGAGAAGCTTCATCATAGTGATGAACTCAATTCATGCCATCCAACGCATGCAACTCTTGTACAGCATGTCAAAAGGGCAGCTTACCAGGCAGGTCATATAAGGGATCAGTCACTTCATCCACAACCTGTACCCCCATCTCCAACTGGCTGGGGCTGGATACAGGAGAAAAGTGGTCAGTGTGTTCCCCGCTGGACGACACTACACCACGCATTAAAATCGTGTCATATGTTGGTCTCTTGTGACTGCAGAATGGGTTGTAAATACCGATGCAAGTGCAAACAGTCTTCACTTAAATACACAGGATTTTGTTGATGCGAGGGCCAGTTTTCATAGAAATGACTCTGACACATTTAACTAGTATGTGGATCAGTATTTTCTTCATAAAACCTGTTTTATTTTCAACACATTTAACCAGTATGTGGATCAGTATGTTTGATAGTTACAAAGCTAAAACAGTAACCAGGAAAGGCAAAGCAATATTTTATCTACTGCGCATGCGCAAAATGAAATTAATTTGAGTGCCTCGATATCTGAAAATGTTCCCCAGGCATCAGTCTATAAATATGCAAAGTTTCTAGCTTTTCCCTGTTCATCATTAAATTCACATTTTCTCAGTTGAGCCGCTCCACTAATATGCAGTATTAAGGTGGCATGTCAGTAATTAACACATGCACTTTTTGTGTTTTGGGATATTTCAGGCTTTGTCCTACGGTACCGCTGTGACTGCAGACAGTCACATGTGATTATCATGGCAACCATATAAATATTGCCTTTATGCCTAGGTATAAGGTTTCGTGTAAAGTGTGTCTCTTGTTCAGAAAATTATTTCTAAATTATTATTTTTCCCATCCTCTTTGTACACCTGCACTACAATAATTATCGGACAAATAAGGGTAAAGATTCATCTGTACTATAACATATCTCTACACTGCGATATAAAATCGCGGAATAAGTTGTATAATATTATAAAGAAACCTACAAGCACGTTTCAACGTAGCAGTTATATTTCTATGCCGCCTTTTCCAGTATACCTCTTTTCACAGCGGTACTCCATGCTATGTTTTCAAATTACTGAAAAGATTTCCATTTTTATCAGTTATGCTATTAACATTAAACAATAATCAATGAAGTTATTGCATATTTATCAGGACAGTTAAATCAAATATCACTAAATTAAGTCGTATGTTGCAATAAGAGAATCAAGAGAATTAATGAAATAATATATTATTAGGTATTAACTTGAAAAGGTCTCCTTCATGGGTAACTCATTTCAGGTAAAATCACTCGATATGAAGAGGAGGTTTAACGTAATTTTCATGACACACACAAACAATAATATTCACAATTCATAATCTGTTTGTTGTAGATTTTACAAACAAATCAAAATTACTTTGATAAGAATTGTTTACACGACCAAAGGTCACTCTTTCGCCAATTCGTGTCAACTCTCTTGTGAAAATTGAAAATAAAGGTAAGAGTTTTTCAAAAAAATTCAACCTTTAGGAACATTCAATGTGTTCGTGATTCGGACAGAAGCCGGGACAATCATGCAAGTACCACGTTGTTTTAATTGAAAACCATGCCAGAGACAGTTTCAATGACACATGACAATAACGAATCTGGCATTGATCTTCTACACAATGTGATTGACGATATCTTAAATGACGACCTTTTTTTTAACCAAAACACGAACCAACGAGATTTGGACAAGTGCCTGAGGACAAAATTCATGACTTTTTGAACGATAACAAAATCCAGAACTACAACAAACCCAAATACGACACAAAAATTATATGGCCAAAACTGAAAAGGATTTTCGTGAACTTGAAACCATTCCTCTGCAGGGTTCCATATGGCACACATGGAGCAGTAGATTTTCAAGGCGAAGGTCATCTGTTCTCACAATCTTGTATGGCCACCATTAGAGTTCAAAACTGACTAGCATCGTCGTCCTATGGAAGAACTCAGATCCCGAATTGTGGCCTTGGGAATGTTCACCCACTCTGCCTGCAGTACTTGTGCCCAGTGCAGGAGGTTCTGTGGTTGTTACTGACGTGCTCGCAGTCATTGATCCAGTGCATCTCCTAAATGTTCAACTTGATTCACGGGGCGGTCGGGAAGCCTTGTGGTTGAAGCGTTCGCTCGTCACGCCGAAGTCCCGACATGGGTACTATGTATGAAGCCCATTTCTGGTGTTCCCCGCCATGATATTGCTTGAATATTGCTCAAAGCGGCGTAAAACCATACTCACTCACTCGATTGGGTTCAAATCTGGAGACCTGGATGTTGTGATTCCTGACAAAGTGAGTGAGTGATTTGGGATTTATAGTCACATCGGCATTATTTAAGCCATATCGTGACTAAAGCAATTTGTACTTTTAGAAAACATCAAGTTAGACTATATATAATCTGTAAATAACGGATAGTAAAATATCCAAGCTTACCACAGATATATGTTTAAAACAAGTATGTTATCGTAAAAATATATTACTAAACATAACATTATATTAGAAAACGGGCTATAGATCGCCAGCAAGTGAAGGTAGCTATATGTAGATAACCATACAAGGGACCAGGGGAATTACAGTACCTTTGCTACCTGCATGGACTTCAGCAGATTTACACCATCCCTTTGTATGCAAAATTAGCCATCGATTAAGACGAACAAATATACTACGATTAAAATCGCGGTAGGCCCACACTTACTTTGAATGGTGTGGAACTTACGTAGCCTCTTTGGGGAACAATAACTGTACCCCAGTACTCCAGCCCCCTTCGAAAATACACTAACAATCTCAATTGCAAATTTAAAACATTTATTTATTTATTTTCAAAAACATATTAATTCAAAGTTTTCAAACAACTCTATCTCCTTTAAAAATACAATAATAAAATGAGAACTAATGTCATAAAAACGATCCTTGACAGATGAAGATTTGAAATATGTATCCCTCGTGATGGCAAAATAAACACAGTCAAGCAGGACATGCTTGACCGTGATTCATCACAAGGGATACAAAATGGAGGATGATCACCTTGCAATAAATATCCCCGATATATATGCTATGGCCAATATGACATCGCCGCATTACGATCTCTTCAAATCTGGACTGACAAGCCAACCAGGTGAACCGATTGTTGGTTTAATTTGATGTGATATATTGATACCTGCTTGGGTGTCCCACCTCTGTTGCATAAGATCTCTGATGTAAGATCTGATCACCGGTTTAAAATCACTGTATAGAATGAGAATTGGTGTCATGATTATGTTGAGCGCTGCTTTAGCGGCAGCATCGGCCATTGTGTTACCAATGATTCCAACATGACTGGGTTCCCAACAAAAGACGATGTCCTATTGGCCAGAAGCAAGAACGTTATATGATTGAATAATTTCGATTAAAAGTGGAGGTTTACAAGACTGATTTTTAATTGCCTGAAGACAAGATAGAGAGTCTGAAAAAATAATAAATTGTTTATGTTTTGATTATTTATTCATATATTCTAGTGCTGTGAATATTGCCTCTGACTAGGCCGTATCAATGGAACAGTCATCTGGTAATCTTGATGATATAGTCCTGGATCCAATGATGGTGTCATCCTTGGATCCATATGTAATTATATATTTGTAAGTGTCATATGTGTGTCTTAGATAATATTATATTTTTGTTGATAAATAAGTTGATCTGTGTCAGATTTGTTCAATTTAGTTAAGGTTAGATTTACCTCTGGTTTTACTAACTGGTGGAGAAGTCAAAAGCTGAGTGGGGGCTATATTATCAAGACTTAGTTTAGCTGCAAAAATATGAGCTTGTAACTGATTCCCTCCCTACTTCGAATTTGAAACGACTCTTAATAGATCAAGTGCCTTCAGACATTAGTTTTTATTAAAGTAATTAATGTGTGGGAGTTTGATCCAGAACTAAATCGGGGTCCTTATATGGCTTTTTTCTACAAAAAAGAATACAGTTTGTTTTAGATTCAGAAAACTTAAAACCATTTTCATGTGATCATTTATGGATTTTACTTGAACATAATTGGAATTTCCTTTCAATAGCATGCATGTATTTACTACGGCTTGAAATATTAAAATAATCCACAGAGAGTGATCAATCATTTGAATCATTTAATACTTTCATAATCATTTAAACTTTTAGTGTTAATGCTGAATAATGTGACAGACAAAATACTG